CCCCGTCCTCCTTGGCCCCCGTCCTCCCTGGCCCTGTCCACCCTGGCCCCGTCCTCATTGTCCCCCGTCCTCACTGTCCCTGTCCTTCCAGAACAACAGCTCAGAACAGCGTGTCTCTCTGGACATTGACCTCTGGGACAAGTTCAGTGAACTCTCCACCAAGTGCATCATCAAAACCGTGGAGTTCGCCAAGCAACTGCCCGGCTTCACCACCCTCACCATTGCTGACCAGATCACCCTCCTCAAGGCTGCCTGCCTGGACATCCTGGTGAGGGTCTCCGTCCCCCCTCCCTGCCGTGTCCTCTTAAATGCCCACGTGGGATCGTCCTGTCAGAGCGCTCGCCCCGTCACCTGGCCCCTCCTCGCGTCCAGACGCTCACTGCTCACCCAGCGCTGGCACCGGCGGCCGCCCCCGCCCCAGCTTTCCCTCTGCTGTCTGTGACGGTCACCGGGACCTGTCTGGCCAGGCCTGGAGCCGCCCTGTGTCTGGAAACCTGTCGGTGGTGGTGGGAGCCGTGAACAGGCTGTGGAGCTGGGGGTGCCGGCTTGCCCCAGCTCTGCCCCGCTCCTGCCCTGCGCGAGGCTGCACTGGGGCCCGCATGTAGGGAGAAGGGTCCCTCCCTGACTAGGGAACAGGTGGGGGGCCTGCTGGGGTGAGCCATGCGGTTAGGGGGTGTAGGGCACGTGGTGGGGGCAGAGGGCCAGCCGGGCTGGAGGCCAGAAGGGGATGACGGGGACCGGCAAAGCCAGGGCTGGAGCGAGGCCGCTGCTGCCCGGGTCCCTGACCACTGGCCCGCCTGGCCCCTCTGGGTGGGGCTGCCTCCAGGTGGGGAGCCTGCGATGGGCCGAGGCTCCCACTTCCTGGTGGGGGGGTGGGGGCAGCGCTCACCTCGTGCCCCAGCTGCCAGGAACCAGCTGGGTTTGCCCCCGCGGAGGCCGGCACATGTTGGCCGCGCTGTTGTCAGGCCCCAGCAGCGCCGTGGATGGGGGAGACGGGGGCGTGCTGCGGTCTTGCCTCCTGGAGACTTCTCTGAGCCCTCTGGAGGCGTGTGAGCTGGCACTGCACCGCCCTGACAGCCGTGCTGGCCGCTCTGGCTGCTGACATCAGCTAGAATGCGAGTCGTTTCCTCGTGCACCAGCCACTTCGGGAGCCGGAGCCGGGGCCAGGCCAGCACGGGGGCCAGAGGGCCGGCCGCCTGCCCGCGGGGCCCTGCGCTTGCTGGTGCCGGGAGTGCTGGGGTGGGCTGAGCCCTGACGCCACATCCCCACACCCAGATCCTGCGCATCTGCACGAGGTACACGCCCGAGCAGGACACGATGACCTTCTCGGACGGGCTGACCCTGAACCGGACCCAGATGCACAACGCCGGCTTCGGGCCCCTCACGGACCTGGTCTTCGCCTTCGCCAACCAGCTGCTGCCTCTGGAGATGGATGACGCTGAGACTGGGCTGCTCAGTGCCATCTGCCTCATCTGTGGAGGTGGGTGGGGGCCAGGCCCAGGCAGGGGAGTCCATGGGGAGCAGCCCAGGGCTCTGCCGATCAGAGGGAGACCGTGGCCCCCTCAGGCTGGCCCTCACCAGGGCGGGTCTGGCCTGGGGCCCCTCGGCAAGGGCCTGGCCGTGGAGGCTAAACTCCTGCTCGGCTGCTGTCATGGCCACACTCCTCCGGGGGGGCTTCGGGGGGCCTGAGTGTCGACCGCCTGGGTTCAAATGCTGACCAGCTTGTGACCTTGAGCAGTCGGCAAGCTCTGCAAAGCCTGTTTCTGTCAGATGGGCAGTAGCTCTCTCCACCTTGTGAAGCTGATGGGGATGAAGGGAGTGGCAGGGCTGCTGGTACAGGAGCCAGCCCAGGGAGAGGCGCCTGCCGGTTTCCACATGGTGGGTGGGAGGGGGATCTGCCTGGGAATCCCCCAGGGCCCGAGGGTCATGCGTGTGCAGAGATCAGGGCAAGCTTGGGGGAACCAGCCCTGCCCCCTCCCCCCCCCCATTTTGATGAGCCTCCAAGGGCCTTTCCCGCTGCAGCAGACCCCACCCAGTCACTGTCAAGGGGAAAGCCAACCCCAGGAGAGGCGCTGCCGTTGCCTGGCCAGGCGCGCCCCCTGCTGGCCGCGTCTGGGCGCGCAGTGCCGGGTACGTGGCTCAGGGCCCTCCCTTCAGACCGGCAGGACCTGGAGCAGCCAGACAGGGTGGACATGCTGCAGGAGCCCCTGCTGGAGGCACTGAAGGTCTACGTGCGGAAACGGAGGCCCAGCCGCCCCCACATGTTCCCCAAGATGCTGATGAAGATCACGGACTTGCGAAGCATCAGCGCTAAGGGTGAGGCCCCCACACCTGGAGGGATGTTCCTGCTGGCCAGGGCGGGGCTGTCCTCTCCCCATCTAGGCCACACCATGCCCAGGTGATCTCCCGACCTGCTGTGAGGGGAGCCAGACCTCACGGAGGTGTCTTTGAGCAGGTCCCCTCACAGCCCACACCTTGGGCTTCCCACCTGAGGATGGGGTTAACTGAGCTGTCCTGAGATGTTGAGAGAGCCCCTGGCACCCGGCCTGTGGCTGACCCCAGACCTCCAGGCCAGAACTGCCCCCGCCCTCCCTGGGGGTTTAAACCTGGGGGTTTAAGAGAGAGGCTTCCCTCAGGGAACAAGCCCCAATTTGGGTGCAGGGAGGCGCTGGCGCACCCGCACCGGCCTGGAGCCCGCATCACCCGCTGACCTCTGCCCTCTCCTGTAGGGGCCGAGCGGGTGATCACGCTGAAGATGGAGATCCCAGGCTCCATGCCACCTCTCATCCAGGAGATGCTGGAGAACTCAGAGGGCCTGGATACTCTGAGCGGACAGCCGGGGGGTGGGGGGCGAGATGGGGGCGGGCTGGCCCCCCCACCTGGCAGCTGCAGCCCCAGCCTCAGCCCCAGCTCAAACAGAAGCAGCCCGGCCACCCACTCTCCATGACCGCTGCGCCCGTGGACCTGGCCCTCGCCCCACGCCCTGGCTTCTCTCTGCCTTTATACCAACTTTGCGACCCCTGCCAGCCCTGCCCCCACTGTCCTCCCTTCCTGGGGGACCGGAGGGAGGAGGCAGCGACTCTTCCGACAGAGGCTGGGCCAAGATGGACTGCCCTGAAGCCTGGGCTGACGTCAGGGACAAGGCCTGAGCTGGGGAGGACCCCGGTCCTGGGCCTCGTGATGGGGCCTGGGGACCTGTTCATCAAGACGCCCTCTGCCCACCTCGCCACATCTTCATCACCAGCAAATGCCAGGACCTGGCTCCCCCATCCTCAGAACTCGCAAGCCATTGCCCCCCGGTTGGGGACCCCCCTGCCTCGGTTGGTGACAGAGGGGGTGGGCTGGGGTGGGGGGTTCCCCCTGTACATACCCTGCCGTACCAACCCCCAGGTATTAATTCTCGCTGGTTTTGTTTTTATTTTAATTTTTTTTTTGGTTTTGATTTTTTTTAATAAGAATTTTCATTTTAAGCACATTTATACTGAAGGAATCTGTGCTGTGTACTGGGGGGAGCTGGATTCAGAGCTGGAGGGGGGTGGGTCAGAGGGGCTCCCACTTCTCCGTGTCCCGCGCCCTCTAGCCCTCCTCCCCAGCCCTTTTCTCCTCAGTTTTCTCTTTAAACTGTGAAGTACTAACTTTCTGAGGCTTGCCTTGCCCTCCTTCATGCCGAGGAAGCAGCAAGCCCACCTTCTCCCTCCGTCTAACCACTGGGTGTGGACAGTTTGGGGAGCCCCCAGGAGGAGCGAGCTTCCCGTGATCAAGAGGGCAGGGCCGAAACACTGGGGCCCTCCGAACATATGAGTGACTCAGTCCTGTCTCCTTGCAGAACTGCCCCCCACTCCGGCCCATGTCATCCAAGCCCCCCCAGCCCCCACTGTGAAGGGGCTGGCCAAGGGGTCCGAGCTGCCCCAGCCCCCAGCCTCACAGCCACCAGCACCGCCCACACAGCAGACAGTCGGCCGCAGACAGCCTGAGTTCCTCGTTTCCCGGCCTGCCTCCCAGCCCCACCAGCACCCCCTCCTTGCCCCGCAGGACGGGCCTACAGGGGGTCCCCTGCCCTCACCCCCTGGTCCCCGGGCTGGGGGAGCTGGCTCTGCCCTGCCCTCTCTGCCCCGGGGTTGGGCTCATCCCCCAGAGCCGCTGGTGCACCTGTTACTGTTGGACTTTCCACTGAGATCTACTGGATAAAGAATAAAGTTCTATTTATTCTAACGTGCCTCAGCGCCTCGCTGCCTCGCCGCCCTCTTGTGCCCAGGCAGGGGCCGGGCTTCCCCATGGGCTCCGGTGCCTGGCGGTCAGGCCTCAGCTCACCAGCCGGGTTTGGCCAGCAGCCCCTAGGCTTGCTGTGTTAGGGCCTTTCGGGACTTTTCCTCAGGAGACAGGCCTGCCCTCGCCCTAGGGGCCACCCTGCCCTGTGAGGGGTGGGGGTACCCCTTCTTCAAGAAATCCTTCCCTGAGCCTTTGGCCCCTGGGAAGTCAGATGGGGGGGTGTCACTTGATCGGCAGAGCTCCACTCTTGGGGGGACTGTAGGTTTGATAAGTTTGCCATAAGAAAATAAGAAAGTGGCAGGCACCATGTGCAGGCCAGTTTGGCCATCATCCCTCGCCATCCACAAGGCCCCCAGCGGCCAGGGCCTTGCACAGGTCACAGCTAGTTAGCGGTGGGTCGGGCCCAGTACTGGGGCTCCCACCTTTCAGACAGGGCTCGTGCCTGGATCCCTGAAGTCCCCCCCGAGACGTGTCAAACGCAGGTCTGAGGGGTCGGAGAAAGCCGCGGAGGCTGTGTCCAGGCCGCGTTAACTGCACAGGGAGCGGCCGCGTCCCCGCCCCGGCGGCTGCAGCCGTCTCTCCTCCGGCCACCAGGTGGCGGCAGCCCCCGCCCCTCTGGAGCGCGGCTCCAGGCCCGGGCTCACAAGCTCCTTTTCTAACTCCGAATCTGAAGTGAAAGTTAACACTGCTGAAAAAACAAACAGCGCGGCGCCACCCCAACTTTACTGTGAAGGAGAAACGAAGTTAAGAAATTCGTTAATTGTTGGGCAGAGCCACGCGGCGGGCTGATAGCACATAGTCCTATGCTTGCTTCTATTTTTTTTTTTTTTAAGATTTATTTATTTGTGCTTACAGAACTGGGGTACAGGCCAGAGGCTCAGGGGTGGCGAGAGGCTTCACCAGAGACAGAGTGGGGAGCAGAACAGGCAGATCGACGAAGTACACTGCTGAGGGAAGCAGCGGGCGGGTCAGGAGAGGTCTGGCTCGCCATGTGGTCTCCTCCGGGGCAGGCGGGAATCGAACTCATGTGGAAGTGGCTTCAGCTTCTCAGTGCTGTGCTTTACCCCACTGCGTCACCAGGGAGGGCCTTGCTTCTATTTTTACCAAATACACAAGGATTTAAAGGTAACAAGGCTGCGGCCCTCCCTGGTGGCAACGGATAAAAGCACCGCAGTATGAAGCTCTCCGCAGCCACTGCAGCACGAGTTCGACCCCTGGCCAGGGAGCTGACCCACATGGCCGGCAGACCTCTCCTGACCCGCCCGCTGCTCCTCTCAGCAGTGTACTTCATCAGTTGGCCTGTCCTGCTCCACACTCTGTCTCTGGGGAATCCTCTCACCCTCCGCATCTCTGGCCTGTACCCCAGTTCTGTAAGCATAAATAAATCTTTTTAAAAATAAAATAAAAGTCACAAGGCTGGGAGCCTCCCTGGTGGTCTAGGGGTAACGGCTCAGTGCTATCACCCTATGGCTTGAGTTCATCCCCGGCCAGGGAGCTGACCCACAGGGCGCAGCAGACCTCTCCTGTCTCCCCGCTGCCCCCTCAGCCGTGTACTTTGTCAGTCGGCCTGTTCGGCTCCCCGCTCTGTCTCTAGTGAACCCTCTCACCCCCTGTGCCTGTGGCCTACACCCCATTTCTTGTACTAAAAAAATTTAAAAGAGGCTATTAAAAGTAAATAAAAGTAAGAAGGCTGAGGCCAGCCTGGAGCAGAAATCCAGGACAACCAAAGAACATGAGTACACAGAGAAATAAAAACTGACAACGTGTAACAGCAAGGTGCAGTGTGCGGGAAAAAGGAGATCTCATAAGAAAACCAGTCTCAACTGTCTGACAAGTAAGACAGAGTCAGGTGGGTAAAGAGCTTTATTGCTACCGGAATTTCCCCAGAGGGACATTCTAAAGTTGTGTGTGAGCATATTTTATTTCGGAAGACATCGGGGCAATCCTGAATTCCACCCATGCCCACAGGGGTCCATTTGCCAGCAGGTGCAGTGGCTTCACTGGGGGCTGCTGGGCCGTGGCTCGACTTCCCGGTCACTGCCTTGGCCAGCGTCTCAGCACCCGCGTGTGTCTGGTGCTGGGTCCCTGGGAGCGGCGCTGTGGTGGGCTGCAAGAGGCCGAGTCGTCCTGGCTCTTCCCGGGCAGCCGCAAGCACCCGACGAGCCAGCATGTCCACAGATGTTGCCAGATGTTCCAGGGGGACAGGGGTGCACAATTGCCTCTGTGGAGAGCCATTGTGCTAGAACCTTCAGGGGGGCTGACTTGTGCTCTGTGCTCTGCAAGGAGCCTGTCCCCGCCAACCCCCCATTGGGGGTCACGCCAAGGCCTTGGTGACTGATATCCAACCTGGAGTGGGCAGTGACGGTCCCATTTAGCCAGGTGTGGGCAGGGCTCTGAGGGCACCTGAAGAGATGGCCCCTCCCAGCTAAACCTCCACAGGGAGAGTCAGCCAGGGGCTGCGGAGGGGAGTCCTGTTCAGCACGATCAGAGACTTCCACTGGCTGTTTAGCCATTTTGCAGTTTATGAGGCAGTGGCTGGTGGAGGTAGCCTGGGTGGGTGACGCGGGACACAGAGGAGAACGAAGGAGACACGCTGTATTTGAGGTGCTGTCACCTCCCACCCCTCGCTCCCTCCACCCCTCCCCTCCCTGCGGCCCCTTGGCGCCCTCCCTGGCGCCATGTCTACCGGCCTCAGGGCCTTTGCACCTGCCCTCTGTCCCTGCAGTGCTTTTCCCGGAGACAGCTGCGGCTGGTCCCGAGGAGCATTCTGCTTCCTATGGCTTCTGGGGACATCACTCCCCCTTTCCTCTTGTTCCCTCACAATAGCCAGTATTTGCTGTCAGGCCTCCAGGCGAGAATGTGAGTTCTGAGGGCAGGTTTTGCTCACTGTAGCTGCATCTGCCCTATTTGAACAGGAGCAACGAGTCACCTGTGGGGCTGGGACTTAGCAACAGGCAGGTCCAAACTGAGAAGTGCGTCCTGAGTGTAAACGTACACCAGCTTGCAAAGACGTAGTCCCGAAAAGGCATGCAGAATACCTGCAGTCTTTGGTATCCGTGATGTGTTGAATTATACTGTGTTCAAGGAAATGAATTACTGAAATTTTATTTCACCTGCTTCCTTTTACTTTTTCATGCGGCTAATGGAGACCTTAAAATGACCTGTGTGATTCACATCCTATTGCACTGAAGAGTGCTCGTCTTAAACATTACCTGGCACGGGGCAGGTGCTCAGCGCATACTTGCTGGATGAATATATCTGGAAAACCGTTGGATCCATGCGTAAGTTGGCGGGGAGGGTCCAGACTGCAGACATGAAATGGTGCTCACCAGCATTCCCGCCTCAGGGCCTTGGCACTGAGTGAGGGTTTGTGCTTGGGTCTCTGCGATCAGGGAGCGACACGACCCAGCAGCCCGGGGCTCTGCCAGGAGGCATCTGGTCTGACTTGGGGTGGGGGCTTGCCAGGAGGGCATCTGCTTTCTTCTCCAGTGAGACCAGAGGCTGCAGCGCCCCTGTGGAGGGGGCTGCTCCAGGTAAAGGAACTCGCTCAAGCCTGTGGGAGCAGAGTGGAGCACCAGAATGGTCTGGAGCACAGAAACCCTGGCTGGGGTGCAGCCAGGCCAGGCAGGGCTGGAGAAGCCTCCTCAGGTGCTAGACCTACCCTGAGGACAGGGGAGCCCCAAAGGCATAAGTAGGGGGCTCCTGTTGCCCAGGGCAGCACAGGCAGGAGAGCTGAGGAGGAAGACCAGGGGCCTGGGGTGGGGGGTGGGGGTGGGGCAGCGGCCATGGCAGGCAGCAGTGCAATGGTCAGCTGTGGCAGCAGTGCAATGGTCAGCTGAAGCCCAGGGGCGTGGCCAGAGGTGGCCCCTGGATTTGCCTCTTAGATCCCGGGCTTTCTCATGGAGAGTGAGCCCACTGCAGTGGTGCGTGGAGGCAGAAGAGACAGACTGGAGGCAGCTGTGTATGTAGATGGCTCTCTGCGCCCCCGGGAGGGAGGGGGCTGGCATAGGCCAGGAGCACAACCTGGGAGTTTCCCTCCGCAGAGGAGCCCAGTGGCCAGGAGAGAGGGGCAAAGACAGAACAGCCTTGCCTCTGACTTCCGCACAGCTACAGCTGCGAAAGGGAGCCCCCCCACCCCCCGCACTGCCCCCCACAATGCGGAGACTAGCTCAGGTCGACTAGATGGGGCCCACCGCTGGGAAGGTGGGGGAAGGGGTGCCCCCTTTGCTTGGGCTCTGCAGGTCGGGATGGAGCCCCTGCGTGGCTGCTGCTGGCCCAGGATGGGGCCACCCGTGCAGGGCGAATCAGAGCCCATGACGCGCACACAGCGGACCTCACCTGGGGTAACAAGCGCACAGGCCACAGGAGCCCAAGCAGGTCGCCCGGGAGTGCACACGCGCCCCCGCCCGCTCGGGTCCGCACGCAGCCGG